TAAAGCTAATTAATCAAGTTCAAAACGTGACTCACGATTTGACTGCATAAGGTTAGCTGTTTTACTTAGAAGGTTTTTTTTTCACCGAGACCCGGGTATCATACTTGTACCTGTTATGCTCTCTATGCTCTCGTCGCTCGAGCGAACCTTTTCCAAATCCAATTTTCACAATTATATTAACCTTGCATTCGATGTGGTAGTATGATGCAAGGAAATTTAGATGCTTTTTTTCCTCGGAATAATCGGTTAGTCTTTCAAAGTATTCACTGGGATTCAGTAGAGCACGTTGGAACCCGTTGTTGAAATAATATAGGAATTGTTCATAACAGCAAGGTTCTCGACGAACGTAAAAGTTATGTTTCTCATGTAATGGTCCGAAGATATTGATGCATTGCGCGTAGCTGCTTTCTGTCAGCTTCCTATCATAAACAAAAGTCCCGCCTATGAAGTTCGCCAGATTGTGATGCGAAATTTGAAATGCAGGAGCGTCATTGTTCCTCAACAGGACTTTGAACCGAGCTCTTTAACCACCCTCATTGCGAAAGGCTCTATTTGTTTGTTTTTGTGGTATACGACCCAAAATTGATTATGAAAATTGGACGAGTAATTTTATCATGTTCATTAATCAGTTCCCTACATCTGAGCTGTATGTGTTACATCTAAGTTTTTAAAAACGTTTTGTCGTATTTAAATTTTTATACTCTGAATTCGATTTTTCCCTTTGCAGACTCTTATATAGGTTGTGGTGATTTTTTTTTTCAGGACATGTTTTTTTTTCAGGCTCAAATTTACTTTTTCGCTGTTTGACTTCTGATTAATTTTCAAGTTCACTTTATTTCTTTTGTTAAAGACAAAAAACCTGATTGACTTCTGGTTTCGAAAGTGGAATTTAATTTTCAGATTTCCAGCGAAATAATAATTTTACTAATTGGTCCATTTTTTTCAAATTGATTAATTTTATGAAAAAAACCAATCGTAAATGTTCTTGAATTTCAAAGAGCTTTAAGGCCATCTTCGAAAATTGAGATTTTTTTACAAAACAACTATTTTTTGTTTAATTGTGTTTAATACGCTTTTTGAATTTTCTGTTAGCTGTGTTTTAAACTGAGTTAGTTTTATGAATAAAACATCATTTTTATAAGATTCTCAAATTTCAAAATTTTAATGTAATGTTCTTTTTAAGAACTTGAAAGTTGAAAGCAGAAAAACTACTGGAGCGCATCGACACTTTTCTGGCCTTTTGTAGGCAGTATTCTTTGCTATTATGTAAGATAAAGGACTAAATTTTTAATATATATTAGATAAAGTTTTATAGTCGGAAAAAATGTAGAACATTTTGATATTAGGGCGTCGCGTGGGCATTTAAACGAAGCTCGTCAGAAAGTTGTTCTTTAAACTCAGAAAGCAAACTGGACAAAACACGAAGTTAAATTTTTGTGCGCCTATTTTTCCTTATGTTTTTGTCTTCTACAAAAAAAAAGTTAGCGCAAAATTAAAAAAACTTGATTCGATTCTTTAAAGAGTCGATGAACTTCGTGAAGACCCTTATTTTCTTTTGTTTGCTGTTGAAAGGAAAGCAATCTCCATTATCGAACAGCGAAAGTGTTAGCGTCTTTAAAAACGCATTTTCCAATAATGATTTTATTTTCCGGAGGAATAAATACTTTCTATTGATCGAGTTGGATCTTTTTCCTAAATAGTAAAAAGAGCCATCCATTTTTCTGTTATTGAAAGTCATATTTCTTTTACTATAAACTGTTTTTGAAATTCAAAAGGCTTTAGCCATGTATTTTTACTTCGAGTTTCGAAAATTAACGTTTTTTTCTTTTCACTTTTCTTTCTGTTTCCTTGCGTTCATTGACTTTTTTCCAGCTGTCTCTCAACTACGGCCAAGAAACGGCGTTAAATTGAGAAGATAACTGATTTGTTAACGAATCAGGCTCTAGCCACCCGCCAGTACCGCTGGAAAGTTTTTGAAAAACATGTCAAAAAGGCGTTTTAAGCTCATTTTGGAAAATTTTAACCAAAAATTGCGTTTTTGGGGCGCGCTCCTCGCTATCAATTAGTATAAATTGGCGCCAGAGGCGCCTTAAGAAAAAATTAAGGTTCTGTTAGCCAAAGTTGGATGTCATAAAATAATACCAAAGGGCTACCCTTTGGGTCGGCAGTCGAATCACTGAGGGGGGAGGGGGGAGCGTCCGTTCTTTATGCTTTTGATAAAACAGAATTTAGACAACCACTTTTTGTTACAGAACTGGACCTTTTTGCTTATCATGAGGTTCACAGATCAAAATTTTTGTTTCAAAATTTTTGTTTCAAATCTAAATACTACAATACATTTTTGAAATTTTGTTTTTTAATTGTCTCTTTTACTAGCCCCCCTTGACTGAAAGTACATTATTCGTTCTTGTTTATTGCTCAATTAAGTCTCTGATAGATGTTAATAATTGGGTAAAATAGAGAGGATTGTTATAGAGGTTCCTTCGTATGAAGTCAGACAGTAATAAATGCTCTTTGATTTACAAAATGACAATAACTGGTTACTAAACGGAGCATCGACTGGAATAGTAAAAATAACTGAAGACCAAATCGGATCACAAGTCGAGTTGATTACTATATCATTATCGGCAATGGCAATCGTTACGAAAAGTATATCTATAAGTAATACTTGAAAAATTTTCATTTCCCGTTAAGTAACTTAATTTAGAATAAACTCAAATTAAGAGTATTGTTAAGAAACAGCGAATAACAGATGGGCTTTAAATTTGATATCTTTGTTGGATGGAATGTTTTGTTTGCTGAAATTGGGTTCGGAAAATATGGTTGTTTGAGTTGAAACTACAAGATTTGAATCAACTAAGTGGTGAATGGCAATAGCAATAAAGCCAAGGGAGACACCTTGAATTGGTTTTGATGCTTTTATAATGTGTGGTTGAACTTTAAAGAGCTTAACGTTGTTTTCTGTTCGAAAGTTGAAAAATTGAGTCCATTGACACTTATCACTATGTTCCAGATGGCCTTTCGCTGAAAGTTTTGAGAGTATAATTCTTGTTCTTCTAGATATTTTTTTGCTTGAAAATTAATCTGCATACGTCCCCATTTGTCAGTGGCGTATTGGTTTTTTTTAGATTTTCGATAGTTCATATGATTTGAAAAAAAAAACGGAAAACGGAAAAACATTGTTAGCTTCCATTTTCTTATTTTAAGTTTCCGCTTCACTTCTAACTTGAAAATGTTTTCATGATGTTGTATGTGTTTGTTGTTCCCACCATTTGAAAAAAATAGGTAGGAATTTTGTGTTCGAGTGTGCTTTAGTTTTTCTTTCTTTTTCTGCTTTGCTTTCCACGCAAAATCAGGTTTTCCACAAATCATCATCTGATTGGGTCGAGTGATATATCTATCTGTCTATATCTATCTATCTATATCTATCTATCTATCTTTATCTATCTATCTATACTATATTTAAATGCTAGTGACAGCTATCTCCCATGTTTAAGCTAAATAATTTTGCATGTTTAACGAAAGAATTCTTTCATGTTTAAGCTATATCATATATTGCTATGCTTAAGAAAATTTTTCAATTAGTTCTGCGCAAGGTCATTATTTTTTCAATAGTTTTTTTCGAGGCCAAATAAGGTCTGTCTGTCTGTCTGAATACCTGCTTTTTTAATTAATTTGATTATGTCTGTCTACCCCTCTCCTAATTTTTAACTTTCAATTTGTTTTCGACGATTTAGTTCACAATAGTACTACTGTCAAACCGTTTTCTTCAATCTCTTTTTATTTTATCTGGATTTTCTATAGTTTTTTCCGGTCTTTTTTCGATCCTTCTTTGTCGATCTGTTTTACTATCTTTTCGAGATATCGCGTTTTTTGTGATTTTTCAAAAAATTTTCAGAAAACTTGAAATAATTTTTGTTTTCAAAATTTGAAATTCTTTACCCTGTATTTGGGTGCTGTCAGAGTACTCTCAGGAGTTACGAATTTTGCCTCCAAATATGACTGCTCATTTCCTTGTAGTTTTCGAGATATGACGATTTTTGTGATTTTTCAAAAAATTTTCAGAAAACCCAAACAATTTTTTTCTTCCAAGTTTGAAATTACTAGCCCTGTTGTTGGAGGCTATCAGAGTACTCTCAGGTATTGCGAATTTTTGCTTCAATTTTAACTGCTCAAATCCCTGTAGTTTTTGAGTTTTGATATATGCCTTTTTTGCGATTTTCGAAAAATTTTCAAAAAATTTGAATTAATTTATCTTCAAAATCTGAAATTCCAAACCATGTAGTTGGGGGCTATCAGAGTACTCTCATGGTTGTGAACCTTGCATCCAATTATGACTGCTCAAATCTTTGTAGTTTTCCAGAAATGACGTTTTTGTGATTTTTTTCCAAGCTTTTCTGAAAACGAAACTTTGAATTTTTTTAATTTCAAGTTCCTAACCCTGTTGTTGGGTGCTTTCTGGGGACTCATAGGGGTTGCGAGTCTTGCCATCAAATATGGTTGCTCAACTTCTTGTAGTTTTCGAGATATGAGGTTTCTTCATGATTTTTCCAAAATTTTCAGTTAACTTAGGCTTGGAAAAATTCTCAAAATTTTAATATCCCAACCCTGTAATTGGGTGCTGTCAGGGTACACCCAAGAGTTGTAAATCTTGCTTTCAAATATGGCTACTGAAATATTTGTACTTTTCGAGATTTGGCTTTTTCGAGATGGCGGAAAATAGGAATTTAAAAAATATATAAAATATTAAATTACCAACCATGTAATTGGGTGCTGTCAGAGTACACTAAAATCCTGCAGATCTGGTTTCCAAACTATGCGGTTTTTCTTGAGCTGTCAAAATTCGAAGCACCGGAGGTGCGTTTCACGCTAGTTATATTGAAGCCCTTTCAGTCATGATTCGAACGACATCAAAAACATTTCAAAAGTTCTCCAATTATCGAGAAAAACAGGTGTACAAAATTTGGTTATCGTGCAAAACTAAAAAAACTATGTTTCAGGACAGTGACATTCCAATCATTCTGCCTCCATTGTCGACCAATCACGACTCCTCTTTATCAGAAGCATCAGTAAACTCTCCTCAGGGCAGTGGAGACACGAAGCCAAATCCACTAGTAGAGCAGTTAGAATTATCAAGTTCAGGTATTAGAAAGCAGAATAGAAGTGGTACATTTTTACTCAAGCAAACGCTTGTAATAAGAGTCCACTGTTTTCTCAACCTAACTCGAAAAACATTTCTGTCCAACTTCAAGCTCAATTTCCTTGGCAAGCAATTTTTTAACATGCATACGTACTATTTAGTGGGTGTCGGGTAACCCAAGTAAATCGATGAATCAATAAACTGAAAACGGGCTGACCAGATCAGGAAACCGAAAATTTGTTATTTAAGACCGAAAATTTATTATTCAATATTGTAGTCGAAAAATTTAAGACTCAGATATATAGATATAATTAAAATGCTAAAATTGTCTCCTAACAAATTGAAACAAAAAAAAAGAAATTATATCAAGCTTGCCACGAGCCCGATGGTAATGTTCTAGTTCAGGAAAAATCAATTCTTTAAATCTCTGATTCTGCGATTGATATAATAATTACCTAATTCGCTTACTGGTTTGATTATTTACTGAAGTTTTGGGCAGCAAGGACAGTTAGCGCATTCGGAAAAATGACTGCTTTATAATCCGGCGGTGCGCTGTTCGAAGCCCTCATTCGACTAATCCTTTATTTTTAAAGCGTATTCACTGCTTCCAAAAGAATTATGTTACAATTTTAAAGCTCATTTTACCATTGTCTGCTTGTGTTTGCGAAGTACAGCTTCAACAGGGTAAAGCTTGAAAAATAATTGAGTTTTTTTTTCAATTTAAAATTTGTATTAAATAAAATAAAACTATCAAGTGTAAAAGTGATTTTCTTTTTAATATGTATAGACGTATTTTTGACGTGTTTATTTTCAGGCAAAAGTCTTAATTTTTGCTCACGCTCAATTTCATTTTTTTCGCGTTTTGATTTTCAATTTTTTTTTAAGTTCAGTTCATTTCCTTTTTTATAAGGAAGGCAAACTCCACTGTCAAATATCAAAAGTGTAAAGGTCACGAAAAGCGTGATTGACTTCAAATTTCGGAATTGGATGTTATTTTACAAATTTCAGCGGAATAAAAACTTTGCCTATTGGTCCAGTTTTCTCAAATTTTGTTAGTCTGTGCCAATCATGAAAGTTCGAAGGTTGAAGTTTTTTCAAAAACAAGTCACTGATTTCTGTTTCCTTGCTTTTATTGACTCTGTTCCAACTATCTGTTGGCTATATTCTTTTTTTCGTTGTCTTATAAAAAAGAGTTCAATTTCTTCCCGATTGTATCATTTGGTTATCCCATATTGACCTGCCTATTTGTTTTTTTTTCATTCAGTATAAATAGCTCGTTCCTAACTCTCGACATCGCCCACTAATCATTAAGTTAAATTATCACTAAAATAACCGGTTCTCTGGAATTGTACTGTGAAGAACTATTTCCCTATTGCAGGAGTAGAAGAGGATTTAGACTCCCTGTTCTGTTCTTTTTCCCATTTACGCCCCTCGGGGGGCCTTGGGTGGTTCGTTCTGGCACTTCCTCTCATGCTTGGCTAGGTTAATTGCAGTGATCCAGGCTCCGCAGGATCCACACTCTTTCCTCTCCCTGGTCCCCGTGTACCTGTTACCTCCCGTCTCCCTTGCCGCCGTGTTCCCTACCGTTCCACTCCCTCCGCAACTCCTCCTATGACTCGCCATATTACCCCTTGTTACCGTCACCGCGCAGTCCCCACACCTACCCATCTGGTCCCCCTTACAGCTCTTGCTGTGGTTTGTTAAGTTGTGCTTCTCCGCGAAAGTTCTGTTGCATCTATCGCATTTAAACACCCTCTCCTGTATCCTGTGAACTCATCGTTCATGCTGCACTAGACCTCCTTTCGTTTTACAAATTCGTCCGCATCCCTCCCACCTGCATGTTAAGTTTTCTCCCTGATACCTCGCCTGGCTCCTAGGTTTCTCCCCTCCCCTGTATCTGCATATTTCACTCTCCCATTTCTCTAGCGCTTCTTTTCTCCTTTTCACTGTCGCCTTCCATTTTTTCCGGTCCTGTGTTAATTTTTCTATATTCGTCCAGTCCTCTCCCGCTTCCCTTATGAGTCGCCTCCAGTAATTAACCACGCCTCCATTTAACCTACCCTGTTGTGTTCTCTCGTTTGTCCAGTGCCCTAGTATAACTTTTTTTGTTGTCCTGTTGTTGCTCATCCGAAGGACGTGGCCCATCCTTTTCAACGCCCGCGTCTCTATTTTTGTTCTGATAGATGTTATCCCCAGAACCCTGCGTATCTCGAAACTATTGACCCCCTCTCTTTCCATTCGCAAGAGTGTTAAACCTCTCCCCTCATTCCATATCCACCGGTAGCATTTATCCGCCATGCTCTGCATCTTCGCCATATCAGTCACTGTCCATGCTCTTGCACTGCAGTCAAAGAGCATTGTTGATTCGACCACTGCCTGTACGATAATTGCCTTCGTTCGTTTACTGACCTTTGTTTTCCACAACCATCTTCTTACTTTTGACCACGCCCAGTATCCCCTTTTAATCCTCGCTGCCCTGTCCTGCTTCCTCCCTATTAGCGTCCCTAACATCCTCGTACAATTCGCTGTCTCGCTTCCAAAAGCTATGTATTCCTCTTTTCCGTTGTGACACTTTTCCTCGAACTTCATCATTTCCGCCTTGACCGTTTCTTTGCCGACCGCTAATTCTTCCGTCCAGCCCAGGAGAGTTGAGTCGTCTGCGAAAAGGGACTCTTCTAATCTAAAGACTTCCTGGGTGCTGCTCCTTAAGGCCCTCTTTACTTCTATTGGAGGGAGACTATTACCTGGTCCCCACGACCATTCTAGACCGCACTCTTCGCCTATCTCCGCCGCTTTTTCTCTTCGTTTTTTTGGCAGCTAACCGCATCGCCTGTGCGTGATACACATTGAAAAGTATCGGAGATGTAGCGCAACCCTCCCGTAGACCTCGTACCGGTAACCATTCCTCGCTTAGTTCCCCTCGACCCTTAACTTTGTATTTCGTTCCTTCATGCAGGTTTTTCAAGACCTCTATCACACCCTTTGTCATTCTTAAGTTTTCCAAAACCATCCACAATAAGGGCCTGTTGACTCGGGGGTATGCTTTTGTTATATCTAACAGTACAGCTCCCGGTCTGTTCCCGGTCGTCTCCGCCTTCCCAAATACCCTCCTTGTTTCCTCATCTATTCTCAGTATGATTTGCGTTGCGTCACACGTCGATCGTCCTTCTCTGAAACCATTTTGATTCTCACCACATGCCTCTATCTTCTCCGCCCATTTTCTAATCCTACTCGTTAGTATCCTTGCCATTATCCTGCTCAACACCGGGAGTAGGCACACACCCCTGTAGTTGTCGAGTTCATTTCTAGCTCCTTTCTTATGTAGGGGTATGACCCATCCTTCCTTAGCTTTGTCGGCCCAGTTCTCAACCGGTGTGGCTAATTGTTCCATCATGCATTGGTATAGTTCTTTCCGGGTGTCTATACTTAAGGCTTTCACTGCGCTAACACTTACATTGTCTACTCCTGCCGCTCCGTCTTTCATGTTCGCCAGTTCTCGTTCAAATTCCACGAAGGTTATTGCTTCTTCCATCTCTTCTGCTGCTGCCTTTGCCTCTGGAGAGTCCTTAATTTCTGTTGACGATGCCGTTCTCATTATCTCTATGACGTCCCGCTCGTATCTGTCTTCCGAGACTTTCATGAAGTGTCGTCTGAACTCTTCTGGCGAGAAAAATTCTTCTTCTATGTTCTGGAGGTCTTTCCCCCCTAAGTACCTTAGTGTCTTGTACATGCGTCTTATATCCCCTTTCACTTCGGCGTCCTTTGTTTCGTCTACCAGTTTAAGCCACCACTCTTCTTCCCATCTTCTTTTAGCCTTCTTGTACTCTTTCCTGACCTCCTGCCTTTGTATTTTAAAGTTTTCCGTTCGTGTTCGTTCAAAACTGTTCGTAAGTGCCCCGATCCTCCGTTTGAACCCCTGTATTTCTTCTAAATGCGTATCCAGCCATGGACTAAGTGCTTTCTTTTCTTTAAATCCGCACACTTCTGTACCCGCTTCATTAATCAAGTTGATTAGGCGTTCACTTTCCTCACCCGTACCCTGTTGCTCTCTTTTACCGTCTACTGTCGATGCGAATGCTTGCCGGATTGATCCATCTCGAAGAGCTTCCCAGTTTATTTTCCTTTGAGTCTCACTTTTCCTATTTGCCTTCGCCCCCTTCCTTCTCCAGACCTCCATGCATTTCGGCCTGTGGTCCGATAGAGATGTACCCGCTATTACCGTGTTTATACTCTTCACTACCCTGCTCCGGTCTTTTTTCTTCACCATGAATCCGTCAATTTCGTGCCATGTTCTTCTTCCTGGGCACTTCCAGGTTCCCCTCCTGTTGTGCCTAAAGAAGGAGCTAGTCCAGGTTAACCCCTGTTCGTGACACCATTCTATTAGATCCCTCCCCGCCGCGTTGGTCCTACCCAGTCCGAATGGTCCTACCGCGTCATCTTCTTCCCTCTGGGAGGTGTCCCCTACACTGGAGTTGAAGTCGCCTCCTAGTACTAGCTTTTTTGCGCCACATCTAATCATTTCGTTTAGCTCTTCTCTATACGCATCGAAATCCCGTCTATCGCTATTCCAAAGGGGCTGGTATGTCGCTACAAACTTGATTTGGTTGACCTCTACTGCCAAACTCCTGTCCCCGCATGTTCTCTTGCATCCTTGGTCTCTCCAATCTAGCGCCCATTCGTCTCGGAGTATTATCCCGCTTCTTTTGCCGTGTATAAGGACCCCAAACATGTCTTTTGCTTTAATCCATTTCATTCCTTCCTCCTTTTCCCTCAGTTCGGACAGTAATACCACTTCCGCGTTACTCTTGCTTATACATCTTAGGATTTCTGCAAAACGATTCCGTCTAGGGAACGAGACTCTCGCCCCCTGTATGTTCCACGTCCATACCCTGTTGCTTTACCTTTCCCCTTCGTCTTTGCTTCCCTTTCCCTCTTTTCTGCTCTGGTCTTTTGCACCTTCTCCCTACGTTTCCGTTTTTCTGTTCGTCTTCTTTCCCTTATCTCTCGCTTTCCTCCCTCTCCTTATCATTTGGTTATCCCATATTGACCTGCCTATTTGTTTTTTTTTCATTCAGTATAAATAGCTCGTTCCTAACTCTCGACATCGCCCACTAATCATTAAGTTAAATTATCACTAAAATAACCGGTTCTCTGGAATTGTACTGTGAAGAACTATTTCCCTATTGCAGGAGTAGAAGAGGATTTAGACTCCCCCTCAGTTGTGCCTTTCTCTCCTCCTCCTCCTCTGTCGCTCTCGCCTGACACCAAGCAGAAGTTCCAGAACATTCCTCACATATCCATCATCTCCTCTTCCAGTAGTAAAATGACGTCAGCTGTTTCTACGGACAACAAGGATGAAATCGCCTCCAGTAATGTAAACTCCGTAGAGTCATCCGAGGATAAAGAAGGTTTGTTTCTTTACACCTCAAGAACGCTACTGTGACAAATTGCGCCAGAATTGAAGTAACTTAAAAAACTAGAAATGTCATGTTTACCTAACGCGATACGTTTACAAAACTAAATACGCATAAACAATACTCTGATCTGTTTGTATTTCAGATATGTAGTCGTATTTTAGAAGAATTTAGGCGATTTTAAACAAAAGTATAAGTAAAATTCACTAGAAATAACCAAAAATTGTCTTGAATACTCTGTGTTAGATCAGAAAGAGTATAGCAGCAGTGGTAGTTTACCCGAGGAGGAGGAGCAGGAGAGTTCCAGGTCTCTGGAATCATCCACTTCCAGATCAAGTGGCACCACAGAAGATACAGTGCCAGGCATCACACTTGGAAATCTTCGGGAATCAGGTTCGTAGCTGTAATAACCCTCACACTGACTGTTCAAACAATTATAAACTCGAACCCAAATCTCTGTTTTGGAGTAACAATTCTGTTTTCGATTATTTTTCAAACTATGTTGTCTTATGCACAAGACTGCACCACTTGATTTACATATAATAGTTAGTTATGGTTTTACATGATCGTGTTGGGTAATTAGATAGTGTTGCGTTATTCATGGTTTGTGATCATATTTTTGGTAAACTAGTCTGAGTTTTCATCTTGTAGCTCATCAAGCAGACACATTTGAATCCATTAGCGTAATTCTTGTCATTTTTTCTTGAATCACCGGGAGTTCTCGAAATAATATGAATTTATCCAAAAAAAGTAACAGTTGAAAATGAAAGTGGTCATTTTTACAATAGGAGCTTATCAAGTTAGCTCATTGGGTTCATTCATTGAGGTCTCAGGATTAATAGGGATTGATTTTGGTTTCAGGCTTATCAACCTGGAATCCCAAAAACAACTCTGATAAAATCTCTATCCGCCGAGACAGCACGACAGAGAAAACCGCATCCGCCTCCGATCTAGACGAAGTTTCGACATCATCAGAAAATGTCGAAGGGAGCAAGGAGCCACACAGTACTGCATTTGATGTTCCTGGAGATCGTTGATATTGTTACTTGTAGTTACTTTACTTAGAACCTCATCTGAACTATAGACTTAAGAGTAATTTATTTTATTAGTTCATCTTCTGAAAAATTGGCAGTTTCGGATAAATGGCAACATTGGAATTATATGCGATAGAAACGAGGTTCAATTTGTTTCAAAACGAGATTTAATGTTTGTTCTGGTATTTTCGTTTTTTCTACTGCCATGGCTCCAATTTTTCAACTATCATACTAGAATAGGGGTGCAGTTAACAGAACTGGCAAAGATATCCATCTGATTTCATCATCCTGACATTGCTATATATTATCCTAATAATGGCCTTTTCAATAAGAAAAACTTCATTTTCTGGTATTCTTAACGAGTTTGGATTTATGGTATAAGACCGTTAATTGCTCCTCAAATAAAGAAGTTTTTTTTTGTTAATAAATAAAATAATCTTGTTAATTTTTTCCTTTTTGGTTCTCATCAAGTATGTGCTGCTGCTACTCTGAAGTTAGAAAATGCCTCCAAGATATGTTCTGTTTAATTGGGATTGTCCTTTTAAGGTGTTTTGTTTAAATATCATACTGAGTAACAGAACTGGTATGATAAAAGTAGACACTTGGTTTTTGATTTTTAATTGTTGTCGAAATGGAACCAGTCATTTTATTTTTGGAATAGAAATTTCTATAAATGACCGCTGGTCAAATAGTAAAATAACATGCTGATATAATGCAAACTAGCATCTAATTGTTCCATCAAAATTATCAAATTTCAGTACTCTCATTATGATATTTATTGAAACGCTCAACTGAAGTTTTGCCTCAAAGTTCATGCTGTTAACTATTGTTTCTGAAGAAACGTCCGGTCAGTAGTGTTAGTACTAGTAGTACTTATAGTAGTTAAATTACTTATGCTCTTGAGATAGAAATCAAATTGTATCTATGGACGCTTTTCTCTGATTTTGGTGCTTTTTGCCTGAAATTGGTTTTTAAAAATATAGTTTTGTCTTCAAAAACGGATTATTTTTTTTCGGTACTGAGATTTGTATAAGGCAGCCAAATTGTTTCTCTAAATTAAATAGGCAGGAGTAAATGATGCTTTGATTTCTATATCTTCATATTGGTCCTTTTGAGCAATTTGTTGACTTATATTGTGACCATTCTTAATTATTTGAAATAATCGATGATATATTTGTTATCCCTCAAAATCCATATCAGTATTTCGTATGGGGTCTTTTCTATCAAAAAGCTCAATGAAATTTGCATATTTCCGTTCCGGTATAATAGAAGATTATTTTTTAGCGATATCAGTCAAAAAGAAATCTTTATTGGCCGATGATTGATTTTTTACCTGTTACAGTCGCTGGCTCTTTTTTTCTCCTCACCCTCTTGAACTTCACATGAGCATCAATTTTATAGTTTATGAGTTCTTTTACAAGGTTAAGTATGAAACACACAAATGCTAGTCATAGATTAGATAGTCCTTAAGTCAAGTTTCATTACAATCGAGCAATGATAACAAATATTTTACTAGTAAAATTAGCAGGTGGGAGGAAAAAGAAAAAAGAGCCCAGTCGCTTATTGAGAATCTTTTCGTGACAGCAGCATCAAATAAATGACTTAAAAAATCAGCCAATCAAAGTCTTTGAAATCCCTGAAGTTGAGACTGCTTTAGGTTTTATGATTGTCTTAAACTCTTTTTTGGCTGGCCTGTTTTAACTCGATCCTTCTTTCACAAGCTCCTCACACTTTAACCGTGACACAATTTTTTCAAAATTTCTTGTGGGGGGGGGGGGGCTCTGTGGTTGGGGTAATGTAACAGAAAAGACCCTAAAAGTGTCGCCGTTTCGTCCTATGCTTTTATCCTTCTGAAGACAAACACACGACGCCTTTTCTTCCACTGTGTTTTTGTGTTCCTTCACACAAATCGAATCGAGTAGTATCTTGACTAAATAGAATCTATAATTTATACCAATCTTAATTTTAATCATGAGATGAAGTTTATTTTTGCTCCTAACAACGTTTTTGCCTCCTGAGATACTAACCACTTGCGGGAACCAGTCTTTGATATTGATTTTTTTTCTAGGGAAATCGTCGATTTTTTATGAAGACAACTGATTTGTCCGAGCTCTGTCAAAGCACTGCAGTGATCTTCTTCTGTCAATGTTTCGTGTGCTGATGGAGAATTATAAAAAAAGCTACAAAAGCACCACCATTGGAGGATTTTGGTAACAAAAATACGTTTCTTAGGAGCTTGTAACCTCCCAATGTATTGTGAACCGTAAGAAAAAGTTTTGGGCAGCGTATATTGGTACCATAGGCTTCTTCAAAAAAAAATTGGTTGATCGATCAAAAATGGATTTCACAAAGTAGAACTAATTGGTAGCCTCTGGGTGCTCAGATCTTCCGCCCCACCTTAAATCTGGTACCGTCCGCACTTGTGAAAAAGTACGTATCATGTACTGTAGTTCTAAATAATCTTATCTATGAAGGTAAATCTATACTTCAATCATTTAAAATTTAGTCATTGGACAAATGGAATCCAGCGTTCAAAATCAAAAACAATAAATATAATAAATTGTTTGAAGTATAGGTCCACATTCATCAAATCGATTTTTATAAGAGATTTCATCAAGCGAAGCATTAATCGAGATGAATGAATGCGTAGACATCAAGACAATTGAAAGCCTAGAGATTGGTTGGTTGCTTCGAATCTTGGATTTTCTTGCTGCGTGTGCAAAAAGCTTTCCGAAATCTTGAACATATCAACCCTGAAAATGACAAAGGATACTAAAACTCGAAATATACTTTGCAGCAAAATTCAGGAAAGACGAAAAAGGAAAACTAAAGTCCTAAAGGTGAAAGTGGGTAGTCAGGAGGGCTAAAAGTTGAAACTTGGTGTGGTAGTGGAGAAAATTCTCGTTGTTGACGACAAAAGTCTGTCATTATGGCAGCAAGTCTCCAATTTTTTTTCGAAGTTTTCTGATGATGCGACTGATGAATTATGATACGACGCCAAGCAATTTCAAAGCTTGTCATTTTTGGGACCTTGGAGCGACCTTAAACAATCTCACCGATTATTATAAAATTCATCTATTTCGATGTAAAAACTGACGTGTAATGGATAAGGAGTGTGTGCTGGACAGTTTTAAATATCCGATAAATGCGTATACGGTTTTCTTGAAGAAACATTTCCACCAAGCGATCGAGATATAAAAAAATATGCTGCCTCTCTGGGTCTGATTACAACAACTGCAGATTAACATAGTTTATCCAAAAACGGAAAAATCACAAAAAATATAGAAACACAAAATATAAATAAATGCTGAAGCTAGTAAAGCATTTTCTCAGTCTGAAAAACTATAAAAAGAGGTTGTGCAATTAGAAGTGATGACTAAATCAAAACCAAAGACTTACTATGGACTACTACTCTATTTTGCTTTTGTTTCGAATATTCATAAAGAAATCCTAATTGAGAGCAAAACAGATGTTTTATTCATGAATTTTCCATCCTTAAGAACCATTATGACTAATTATATGTACTTGCTGCTTCACCTTGGAACAAAACAGCAATATTTGTTGTGTGTGAAACTTGACCTAATGAGATGGATCTGGTGGATAAAAATTTGTGAAGAATGCCATGAAGGAGTTCTTAAAAATCACAAGACCAAATTGGGGGCGGATCGGCTTTTTTAAGAAATAATAATGATACCAAGTACTACCTCAATTTTTAACTTCTTTGGCTGTCAAACAAAATGTTTTCCTTAACTGCGCAGTTTTGCGGTGAAAAATAAAATAAATTAGGACAGCATGTAAAACCTTGAAAGTTTCCTGGTAAAAAAGCCTTCTGTTAAAACTTTTTCCAGTATTTTTTCAGAGCTTAGTGAATTAAACGGTCAAAAAATTGCGCTTGTTTTTGTAGCTGTAAATTTTTGCAATTTGTGAGCTTGCTGAAAATATGTTTTCAATATTAGTCGTATCAAATCCTCATAAGAATAAACGTTAGTGTTATTGAAAACAGTTTTAATTTGTTGTTTGAGATGCCAACATAACTATTTTTTTCCATTTTTTCAATAACATTTGAAGCTTTAAAGGCTTCTTTTCTTTTCGAAGATGAAATGATTGAGGGTTTCGTTGAAAAAACTTTCTGAGCCCAGGAATTTGGTTTTTGGATAGTCTTGGTCTAGGCCATCTGCTCAAAACCAGTGTTTGGTGATGGAGTGGCTAGAGCGGGAGCTTTTTTTGCATTGTGAAATCAAACAATTTCGAACTGCTGAAAATAGTTTATAAAGATTTTGTTTAGACTATCAATCTTAGCGTCACTTATGATGGTTTACTTAGTTTTCGTAGGTCTCAGAAAATTATTTTTTTTTGGTTCTATAATTTTTGCCTTTCCCTCACAGGTCTGATAAAAACTAAATTCTTATAATAATCATAATAACTTGTTTTAAAACCAATTATATACACAAAATTAAGTTCATTAAATTTTGGTTGATATAGTCTTGAGACGGCATCCTGAAGTTTTCAAAAGAAATCTGCCGTGGGATGCCTCAGAAAGCAGAACAGTTTTAATTAAATCTCAATTCTTATAAATAAACGATTAGTTTTTTTTTGGTAAATTTAGAAGTTTGTTCCTGAAAAAGGATGAACCATGCCTCGAGAAAACAACACCAGATTTAGCCTAGCAATCTTAGTTTGTATCCACAAGATTTATCCATAAAAAGACCGAACGATCCAGAATATAATTGTCAAGAAACTTGAAATTTATTTGTTTAAGGATAGATATAATCCGCAAACCTAAAGATTGATCAATTATCAATGAGTTTTGCCTCGAGCTTAACTTTTCTGTACAAGTCTGACTAAACTAGCGAGCTGATCCAGATCTTCTTTGTTCAAAAAAGATTTTATTGCATTTCCTTTTTTATCCCACGTAATATTTTGCTTGAAAGCTTCCAAGTTTCATATCGTTGTAAGTTTTGTTTTGAACATAATGTTAGTTGATATAATGTTTGTTGTTTAATAAGGTTTTTAAGTGATTGAAATTTTCATCCTACGGAACTTTACCCGAACTAACCTACGACGTGTTTTTTCTAACTCAATTATCTTAGTCTTACTAACTGATCCGTAAAGCAGAACACCATATTGAATTATTGGTTGGACGCAACTTTTTTATGCT